TTAGCAAAATTTGGTGTCTGTCACGCAGATCATTGTCCGTCTGTCCGACCACGTGATTAATTAATATAAAATTAAAATGTTTGATTGGCTGTTACAAATCAATTTTTGCTCCGGACTTACAATAGTTCCTGTTTTCCTAGTATATATTTATATATTACAAAACAACAGTTAGATGTATAACCAATATTAACAAATTATAAAATTATAAAAATAATTATAATTAGTTTAAATTTAGAAAATATTAATACTAAAGTTTAAACAAACACATTGATATTTTGTATAAATATTTATTTTAACTATAAAGTAGTTAACATGATTGCCTAAGAACAAAAAAAATTATTATATTTATTTTTTTTATACATCATTTATTGCCAGTGCGATGCATCGCTACCCTAATCGACCAATCAGAATTCAAGATCAGGTGTAACGTGAAATTGATCGGTCGATCAGGGGTGATTTAATTATAATGAGTCTTATTTGTCAAATTTATTATCGTTATATTACGTAGTGGTTTTATAACTGTTAGAGTTAGAAATATTAATAAAAAAATATAAATAAATTTAAAGCTTAAAAAACAATTTATTTTTAATCTGATTTTTATTGTTGAATTAGTTAATAAATACACTGTTGTTAGGAATAAGTAAACAAATATTATATTTTACAGAATGTGTTTGGTATATCGACGTCGACATACGTAGCGTCAATTCAGCAGCAGCTTTACAATCTTCATTTCATAGGTAACACCAAATTATTATTATCATTTTATCATTTTATCAACACATTTTATCATGTGTCTATACACTCGTTAGTGTTACAAGATGATCTTAAAATGGAGAAAGAGTACAAAGGTGGATAGTCTAGTTTTTGTAGAGACGTCTGTACGATGAAAAATAGGTTAAACGTGTTAATATTAATGAACAATGGGTCGTGTTCTAACAAGGAGAACCGCGACTCGTAGTAGTATTTCGATTTTAAAATTAACTGTTAAATGTATTAACAGTTAAATGAAATTGCATTTACGCTTATCGTTGTGTGATAATCTTACAGTAAACAAATAAGATAATCTTGGGTATCTTTTATAGATGATCAATTCTGGATTCGGAATCAAAAATGTAGTTCTGTAGTTTGGATTATTACGTAGTGGTAAGGGTGAATCTTTGTTAATTTTTAATTGGCTCCAAACTTAAAATAACTCGTTGACTAAGTTTCGGTTATGTTAACGGTTATCATTATATGCAACTCTAAAAACTATATAAAGATTGCTTTCCACAAAAGACAATTAGACAATTAGAACTACAAATAAATGACGAAGCCAATAATATATTCAGTCGAGCTGCCCAATACAAGGAAGCCTGGGCAAACTGGAATTTATCGTAATGCGCTCCACACAGAGTCTCTGACTGATTCAGCAAGGTTCTCCTAATTCACCGTAATTATGAAAAAATTTTTTTTATATAACCTGTTATTGACTCAAACGAATACTTTTTTGCAGTCCTGAAGTTAAAACTTTATATGACAATTTTCAACACGGTAAGATCAATAATATTATTATTATTAATAATAAAGTTTGAATTACTTGAAATTAGTTCTGCTCTTATGACAGTTATTTTTATCCTAATAGGTCTTAAAATATCAACTGACCGAAATTGCATTGCACATCGACCTTATAATAAGATAACTAAACGATATGAAGGTTATGTTTGGCAGACTTACAGACAAATCGCCGAGCGTCTTACCAACTTTGGTTCTGGACTTTTGCACTTGAGTGAATCTGTATGTTTGATTTTTTAAATAAATAATTTAACGTAATTTGACATAGGTGAATAATTTTATTTTCATCTATAGGTTATAAAGAACTCTAAGGTGCAACAGTGGTGCGTTGGAATTCATTCAAATAATAGGCCTGGTAAGAAAATAATCTTCATTTTGTGAAAAAAAAACACCATTCTGATCAAAAGCTCTTTAATTATTAAGAATGGTTCATTACCAATCAGGTATTTACAATTTATAATTATTAATAAATATATCGACTGATTTGGTTTAACGTGTTTAACGCGTAAATATAAAAAATATATCCTAATATATACATTTTTAAAAAAATTCAGGCGGCTAATGCATATAATCTCGTTACTGTTGCGATATATGATACTTTTGGACCACGTAAATAATTATTTCTTTATTTGACTATGATTATTTGATTAATATATATACTTTAGATGTATATATCTATTTTTTATTAGAGGCTGTCGAATATATCATAAATCATTCTGAAATTCCAATTGTGATTGCTAGCGCTAATCGCGTCCCTGAGCTTATTCGGATTGCGTCAAAGGTGTCCGTAATGAAAATAATCATTTCAATGGATGAGCTTGACGACAATGTCCCTGCGCCTGCGCCTATTGGTACTGTTACTACCGGAAAAGTTTTAAAAGCGTGGGCACATGATAAGGGCATTTTATTATTGGACTTTAATGAGGTTGAAAAATTAGGCCAACAACATCCTCGTAGACATAATCCTCCTTCTCCGAATGATCTTGCTTTTATTAATTATACTTCAGGTACAACTGGTACTCCAAAAGGTGCTATGATTGCTCATTCAACTGCCATCGGTGCGAAAAATGGCATCTCTTTAACCTGGACTTTAACTCCAGATGATGTACGTGTCATATTAATATAATTGTATAATTTACTACATTCATTTACTTTTCATATTTCTTTCAGGTTATTATTTCATATTTACCGGTAAATTTTATTTATTTATTTAATTTATTTACTTATTTGTTTTTTATTGATTTATTTTTATTTTATTTTTTATTTTATTTTTACTTTGTTTTAATGCTTTTATTATGTCTTGATTGCTTTTATATTATAGCTTGCTCATGTATTAGAAATTATGGCTGAAGTAGCTATGATTGGCTTTGGTGCCGGTATCGGTTACTTTCGCGGTGATGTGCTTACCCTTATTGATGATATGACTGAACTTAAACCTACAATTTTCCCTTCTGTTCCGCGTTTACTTACGCGCGTGCATGCTAAAATTCAACAAAACACTGTGAATGCTCCTGGTATTAAAGGCGTATTATCACGTAAAGCTATTGCTGCAAAACTTAAAAATTTAGAGGATGGAAAAGGCTTTACTCATGCCTTCTGGGATAGAATTATTTTCAACAAAATAAAACAAGTTCTAGGTGGTCGTGTAAGAGTTATCCTTACAGGTTCTGCTCCTATAGGTCCTGAAGTTTTACAATTCTTGAGAGTTGCTTTTGCTTGTGATGTAGCTGAAGGTTATTATTATTTCATGTATTTTATTTTATGTATTTTGATTCCGTGTATGAGTATGGCTATAGGTATATATGTTTAAAATTTATCCTTGATTTAGGTTATGGTCAGACTGAAGGGTTTTCTGCTGCGACATTAACTTCAAAGGGTGAGAATGAAGTTGGTCATGTGGGAGGTCCTCTTCCATGGTAATTTTCTTTCATTGTTTGCTTATTTATATATGTTTTATTAAATTAATTATATCTTACATTGTTTAGTCTTGAAATGAAGCTTGTAGATGTACCAGAGATGAATTATTTTTCAACTGATAAACCTTTTCCTCGCGGTGAACTTTGTTATCGCGGTCAAAATGTTTTTCCTGGTTATTTCAAAGATGCTGCCAAAACAAAAGAAGCAATTGATGCAGAAGGATGGCTTCATAGTGGCGATATTGCATACGTTAATGCAAGAGGTGTTTATTTTTCTATTTTTTTTATTATCTTATTAAAAATTTTTTTATTCAAATCATTCAAATAATTCAAAGAATTTAAATAATTCAAATAATTCATCATGGTAACAATAATTGTGGCTTTATATTTAATAGGTGCATTTAGTATAATTGATCGAAAGAAGAATATATTCAAATTATCTCAAGGTGAATACGTTGCCCCTGAAAAAGTAGGTTTATCAACGTAATTATATAAATGTAATACCGTATATTCTCTTTCCTTATCAAATTTTAATTTATAAATAGATCGAAAATGAATATGTGAATTCCAATTTGATACTTCAAATATTTGTCCATGGTGATTCTCTTCGCAATTATCTTGTTGCTATTGTTGTACCGGACCCTGAAACTTTTTTACCATGGGCAAATGATTTGACCAACCAAAACGTTTCCTTGGGTGATGAAAAAGGATTGGAAATTCTTGTTAATGACAAAAAAGTGAAAAGTGCTTTTTTGGATCATATGAATGATGTTGCAAAGCAATCGAAACTTAAAGGGTTAGTACATATTTAATATGATTTATACATATTTATTTATTTATTTTTTATTTTATAATCTTATACTTGCTTTCTTTAGTTTTGAAATTGTTAAAGCTATTCATCTTTCGTGTTGTCCATTCTCAGTTGAGAACCATCTTTTGACTCCAACGTGAGCATTGTTTTACAGTCTCCCATCTTTTTTTTTTCATTTTCTATAATTAACTTTTAATCTTAAATTTTTAGTCTGAAACTTAAACGTCATGAAGCCCAAAATCATTTTCGTAAGATTATTGATAAACTATATGCAGAAAGTGAAAATGATCCCATAAGTAATAACATTCAATCCAAATTGTAATTTATGAAATAGATTTAATACATATATATCTATATACATATATATAGTTTTTTTTTATAATAATGATAAGATTCTAAAAATAAACAAAATTGTTATTGATTGGCTAAATGCAAATCTAATTGTAATACTGTAGATAAATGTGATCTATAATTAGTGAATTATCAGTTATCGTTATCGTATTGTTATAATTATAATAATTTTTAGTTACGTATTTACAAAATTGAAGCAATGTCTAATATTCTTGCCGTTGATTTCAAATACACTGAGCGTATTGCTCTTAAAACTACTCTCAGAGATTATATTTCTTATTCTTATGATGAACATCCAGATATATACACTGACGATTTACGTATTCTTGACGAACTTAGGACCGATTGTTTGAATTTGGAGGTACACCAAAATGCACTATGTCGGCTGTTAAAGTGGGTTACCTGACTTTTTTTTTTCTCTTTGATCTCACTGAAGAGAGAAACTTGGATCCAAAACTTGTTCAAACGATTAAATCTTATCCTTCAGATATTATGGGCAGCTAGTTTTCATTGGTGCTAAATTTCCAATTGACGTAGGTCAAAAGATGTCTAATTATAATTATAATTATAATGATTATTATTATTATTTTATTGACTATTGACCTTTGTACGTTTTCATAGGTAGGCATAGAATTTCCTTGGTATTCAGCCTTTCCAAATAATGAAAAAAAGCCTGGTATGTTTTTTATAATGCGCATAATATATAAAAGGATAAATTTTGTGAAAACATTTAAATATAATTCTACAATTCTATAATTCTCTTTTTTTAGTTTCACATAAAAATTTTTACTATGAGAGGGCTTGTGTACTATTTAATATCGGTGCCATGTATAGCAAGCTTGGCATCTCGGAAAGCAGGATAACTCCTGAAGGTGTCAAAAGGGCTTGTCAATATTTTCAAGTAATTTAGATCTCAATTTTTGGTTTAAAAAATTATGAAAAAAAAATCATTATGTAAACTGTTTGTTTGAAAATAATTTAAATTATAGAACGCAGCTGGTTGTTTCAAACACTTGGACAGTGTAATAGTACCAGAAATGCGAATACCACCAACACCAGACATGTCATCTACTACTTTAAATGTTCTTATTAATATTATGTTGGCACAGGCTCAAGAATGTTTTTGGCAAAAAGCTGTATATGGTGAATAACTTGTAATCCTTCTTATTTTTATCAAAATTCCTTTTTTTTTAATTTATTTCATAATTCATATAATTCATTTTTTTTTCATTTTCCAATTAAGAAAAATTAAAGGATGGAAATGTGGCAAAATTAGCAAGTCAGGTGTCTGCATACTATGAAACAGCGTTTGAATTAGCTACAAATAATCCAGAAGTTTCAAAATTAATAGGCCAAGTATGTTATGATTCTTTTTAAATATGATGTATGTTATAACTTTTTTAAAAACAATTAAATTTAATATTATATTTTAATCTAGAATTGGCTTACACATCTGCAAGTAAAATCGTGGCATTTTGTTGCAGCTGCAGAATTTCGTAAATCTTGTGAATGCATTAGCCAAAATAAATATGGTGAAGAAATTTCGAGGTTGCGAGTAGCTGAAGGGTACGTGAATAGAGCATTTGATCAACGTAAAAATTTAAGAGAAGCTGTAATAAAAGATTTAGAGGTCAGATCAATAAATTGACATGTAACCTTTTTTTTTTAATACATTTATTTATTATGAATAATCTCTAACATTTAATTTATTATTATTTTAGTCATTACATACAGTTGTTACTTCAAATCTTAGTCGTGCTGTAAAAGACAATGATATTATATATTTAAACACTATTCCTTCAGCTTCTTTATTACCTCAAATTGGCCGTGCAAGTCTGGCTAGTCCAATACTTCCTCCAGAAGTCAATGATCCAATCTCCTTGATGAATGAAAGATCTATTTTGGGTCTTCCATTGTTTGTAAAACTTGTTCCTTTTGCTGTTCATCAGGCTCACAGTGTATATTCCGATCGTAAAGAAAGAGTGGTAAAGGAAGATATCTTATTGAAATTGAATGAGTTAACAAGTATCTGTAACAGGTTTGAAAAATGAAATTAATGTGTACATAATTTAAAAAACTAACAATTCATTAATTTATGATTCAATATTTATTATATTATTATATTATTATAGTACATTAAAGTCCCTAAACTTACCTTCTTCGTCGCTGGATACAGATGATCAATTAATTCCACAATTAATATTGGCAAATTCACAAGATGTTCGCAATGAAGGAAGTGTAACGAGACTGAATGCAATGTTCGATAGCATACGAGATGCATCACCAAGTAATAATCAAATTTTAGATGAGGTTGGTTGTTAATTTCTGACTGAATTATAAAAAAAAAAGAAAGAAAATTTATGATTAGATCAATTTTGTTTCTGTAGGCATTAAATATTTTAGATCAAGAAGCTATGGAAGATGAAGAATGGGAAAAGAAATTTGGAGAAAGATGGACAAGAAAGAAATCTATTGTAGCTAATAAAGATTTGATAGACCAAGGGTTAAATCATCAACAAATTCTTCAACAGGCGCTCAAAGGTGACTTGGCAATCAAAAACAAATTAGAGCAATGGAGTCAACATATTGAATTATTGGGTTCTGATAGGGTAACTATTTTTATATTCATTTACTTTACTCTTCATTTTTTTAATTAATTAATTAATATCTTTAATAGGAAACTATTAAAAAAACCATCCTATCAAGTAGCACTTTTGATGCATCTGCACAATCAGATATTAAAAATCGTGATAATGAGTTACGGACTCTTATAAATGAAGCTCATGCTAATATTGGAGAACGCAATAAGACTATTGAGGAAATTAAAAAAGTTTCGAATCTAGATGATATTGGTATCTATATCAAATATTAAATATCAAATATTGCATGAATTTAGAATAAAATTCCTACAGAAATTTTTATCTTAATTAATTTGTTAAAACTTTAGGTCCTAAATTACTCAAAGAAGCTGCAAAAATTACTGCCAATGGTACTGCTATAAAAATTGAGCCAGCACATTTTGAAGAACTATTCATCGAAGAGTTGAAAAAATATGATAAATATTTGGAGCTTGTACAGCGTGAAACTGAAAATCAAGAAAAGTTATTGAGCAATATTGAGGTACATAAAAATATTTGAAAACTATATCTTTTTTCAATGAATCCTTTTTTTTTTTTAAAAAAAAAAAAAAACTCAATTTTTAGAGAAAATATCAAGAATTAACAGAAAAACGTAATAGGGTAATGAATAGCTCTGGAAGGACAGAAATACTTGAGAAATTTAATACGGCAAATCAAAAATTCAGGGAGATATTATCAAACTTACAAGAAGGAATCAAAGTAAATATATTTATATATTTTATTTGGCGTTTATGATCTTGTAATCTTAACCCAATTTATATTTTAGTTTTATCGCAATTTTGAAACTACTTTGCGAGAATATAAAAAAAAGTGCCAAGAATTTGCAGCCTTTCGCCATAAAGAAGGATATGACATTGTCCTGTAAGTGTACCTTTAGTTAGGTTAAGCTTTTGTAAATGTACTCGAATCTAATAATATTATCTTCTCAGCCAATTGACATCTAGTACTATTGACAAGACCTGGAACAAGGGTACGCCTATAGTTTACTCTTCGCAGACTAATTTACAACAATCTTCTCAATCACAAAAGGCAAGTGGAGTATGGAATCCAGACAAGAATGCAAATTTTCCACGTAATGCAGGGAGTTCATGATATTAAGTCCGATAACGAAATTCCTTCATTTTAAAAATGAAGAGTTAGATTCTGTTTGGTAAGCTTAAAAAAATATAAAAGTAAAAAGTATAGATAGTAAATTATAATTATATTGTGATATAAAAAATTTGATATATTTATACAGTGCAAGACACCTAAAGACATCACAGGTGCTGAAAATTTTACTTATAAAATGAATCTGATTGGTTAAAATTTTAATAATTACTTTAGTTAAATTTTTTATTATTAAAATTGATTTTTTTATCATAGTGCTGAAATTTTTTGAGATAATAATAATTTTAAGATAAAATAGTTTTATAAATGAATAATTTTTTTTAAAAAAAAATTTTATATATTCTTTTATGCATAATGAATAAATAGAAAGTTTTTTAAAATATTAATTGTACTATTTTTAGTTATTTGGTTTTAAAAAAAATTAAAGATTTTTTGATGTCGTGCACTGTATTTATTTATATTTATTTAAAAAATGTCGCTTGTAAAATTAAGACTTGTTTTTTATTCATTTAAGTTGCAACATATGATACAATATAAAAATAACTTAATTGATAACATTTTAAATTGTATATATTTTAATGATTCTTTTTCTAAACAGTAATAAATAAATAAATATAATTTCAAATGAAATTTAGAATATTTTTTTTATATTAAACTCAGTATCTAAGTTATAAAAAGTAAAATAAGATCTTTTTTTTTTTTTTTTTTTTTTGGTATTAAGGTGAGGCCTTGCTCGTATCTTTATTGGTAGTTTAAAAATTAGTAG